TCTTCCATCTCCTGCCAACGGATGCCCTGGGTAACTCTGTACTAACTCAAGATTAGTCTTGGGAAAAGTTCCTGCTAAAAGAAGCCCAAGCATGTAAAGCTTGTCAGGAAAGCAGGCAGGGGGGAAGCAGGGAGGAGTTGAGTAGCAGAGTCCAAAGTTGAGTAATGGCTGACGGATGGAGGAAGCTCGCTAGCTGATCCCTGCACCAGGAGCCGATGTTGCAATTGCTCAGATTCCAAAAGTGGCAATGGAGAGAAAGTGTTGGCAGCATCGCTGAAAGTGTTCACCTGGAGAAAGGCCTTACAATGCTCACTGCTCAAGGGAAACTGGAAGAAAGCTTACAGCCTTACATGGAAACATGCTTTTTTCACAACAGATAGACACCACTTCTTATGTAGAGCTAGGACATTTCTTCTCTTTGTGGCACTGAAAATTTACACAGTGATTTTACTCATCCCTGTGAGTAAGATGTCTTCTATGTTTACAGACAGTTCTCCTGTCAATTAAATTTAAATTTCATCAGAAAAATTACCCTTAATAGTCATTAAATACTAAACTGAGTGGAGTAAAGCAACTTGCAGACTTCCCAGCTGAGATTTTACCCATTTCATATTTCAATCAAATAGGAAGAACCAGCATAGTTTGCTAAATCATTCTTCTTACTTGATCAACAGCCTATGTATAAAACTTTCCAACAGACAGAAAATTCTTTGATTATAATGCTTCAACACTGTTAATCTCCCAAATTAAACTCCACCTATGCACAGATGTCTCATCCCCTTGAGCACTATATATCACAATAAAAATTAAATATAAGCTTGGCTTACAACAGGCCCATAAATTGAACTGCCTATTAGATACTTTATGTCCCATTGGTTATGAACCTGTTCACAAACCTGCCTATAATTACTAAAATGCATCAATTGAAATGTTTGCTGAATTTGTGTTTAAAATATTAAGTGTTTCATGCACATATAACTCTGAGAATAAGTTTAACTGCATCTTAACTTGAGAGAATCCATAATATACTGTTTCTATTTATTTCAAACAAAATCAGAATGTCTTCTGCCTCCCTAACATCTGATACAAATACCCATGGATCAGTAATATGAAAAACTGGAATTTCCACCAGTCATTTCTGCCAGTCTTATATATTTTGAGTGCTATCTCATGTCTCCATTAGACATTTTGTCTGAAAATAACATGAGGGTAATAGGCTTTTAAAAACCTTGGACTTAAATGAAACATTCTGGTTGATATATTTGTACTGTCATTTTAGCTTGGGTTTGAGCTCACCCTTGAAACTGAACTCTCTAAACAATCCTCATTCAGATTTTAACCCTGCAGCCACTCAACTGGCATGCCATGTGGGGAAAGGCAAATGCACGATGGGTGCTGGCTCCAACCTCAGCCCTGTCCCCACAGGCACTGTGGATGCAAGCAGCTCAGGCCATGATGAATAGGAACCCACACTCACACGTCTAAAAAAAGCCATATAAAACGAACCCATTGAGACCTGTTGTTGTCAGCGTGCCTTACTGGGTGACAGTGATCCCATGCCCTTCATTGTAATGATCTTTTCCCCAGTACTTGCTAAATTACCTGTTGTAATGTGAAATGCATATCATAATGACAAACGTCAGCCCACAGATGTCCAGGAACATTGCATTAATATGAATATTTATTGTGATGTTACTACTTTACAGAGGAAAATACTACAGAACTTAAATTTGTGGGGAAAGGTCCCTAGGTGTCATTTTCCATTATGGAAACTAACCCATACACTGTAATTTTTTGTAATGAACCATGTGGACCATGGCTTTCCAGCTTTCCAAAGAAGCTATGGAGAATATAGCCTAACCTGTAAAGCTAGTTAGACCCCCAAGATACATAGTCCCAAGCTCCTTTATTTGTGTGAATCTCACAGTTTTCCTATCCAGCCATCTAAATACCTTTATGCCAAAAAGCCACTATAAGTGTGTAAGTCGCTGAAATTGAATCACATCTGGAAATTTGATTGCAGTGCAACCTAGTGGATGAAGCTCAGAGCAAGGCCTTGGTTTGCCATGCTGCACTAATGGGAGCAATAAATACCACAGAACCCTGCTAATTAGAGCACCGCGCAGTTCAGGATGGTGAAAGTTTGCTGTACTACAGCTAGTAGGAAATACATATTCTTCAGCCATGCTACAGATTTTTCCAGTCAAATTTAGTTTGGATGTAAGATGAAACAAAATAAGCCATCATTTTCAAGTGCTTGTAATAAATACATTTCTTAGGATAATCACTGCAGATAACACAGAAGCTAATGTTGAGAGAACTCAATTATTTATGTTAGTTAATATCCAGAATGGTAAGGTTTCTCTGTGTCTGTACTGCTGGGTATTTTGAAGTTTAGCAAGTTAATACATTCTGCAAAGCACAATTGCATATAATTTTCTATCCAGCAGCTTGCCTAATATTTTTATGCAAATACCACAATTAGGAGTAGGCCCAGTGAACATGAACACTTCTAATTACTTCCATATTGTCGTGTGATTTAAAACTGAATCTTCTGTTTAGTATTAAAGCATTTTTCAAATTATAGCACAGCCTGTTTAGCTGTTTTAGCAGCTTTAATATGGTTTACAAAGGAAACAGAAATGATAAAGGTGTCATATGCTGGATATTTGCAGCCTAGTTGTAAAAGTCAGGTAAGGCTCTAGTTAGGAGATATATCCCCCACTCTCCTCCTTAGCATTACTTTTTCAACCTTTTTCTCTAGCAAGGTCAATGTCCTGTAGATCCAAGACTGCTGCCGCTGCTCACAATCATGTCATCTTTACCCTTTGTTTTTCTATCTATCACATCAGGTGTTTTGTCTTCTTGTACTTAGTTTATTAGATTTATAAGGCAGGGACCATCTTTTGTATTTTACATTCCTTAAATCCAGTGAAGGCTGATATATTGTGTATTCATAAGTCACATTCACCACTTAAACATCATTTATATGTTGCTTCTAACTGTTCATATGTCATAAATTTCCATCTTTGTTAAGAATGCCATTAGAGTTTAGTAATCTAGATTAAATCACTGTTAAGGAGAGGGTTGTTACATCCTAATGTTACAATTTCCTGTTTGAATACAAAACTTCTCATGACTTTCGTGTGCAAGAAAGGGCAAAAACATTTCTGTTTTGCAACCAGAAGGGCTTCTTAGCATTGAGGCTGGGGCCTTAAGGAGCCCCGGTATGCAGAAGCATGGTGGGGCAGCAAGGGGCGAAGGCAGACTGCTCTGTCCCCTTGCTCCTGCTGGGAGGATGCAGAGTGATACCCAGGTGGTACCTGGGTGGGATGCAGAGCCCAGGCATGGCTGTCAGGAGCTGCACTATCCCTCTGCAGGGTGCTGGCAATGCTTCTGCTCCACAGCTTTCTGAAGGGTGCTGTAAGGGGACTCCTGGGTGATGTTTCTTATCCCCACAGATCTATTTCAGAGGGCGAGGCAGGAGTTGCGGGGGGGGGATGCTAGGCCTTAAGTCTATATGTCATTTGCAACTGATAGATTTAAACAAGAAGACAAAAATTACTTTTTTCTCCACAACAAGGATAATGATAATTTCTAGAGTGTCAGAGTGCTATTACCACGTAAAATCTGTTTGCCAGCCTTCCCAAAATGCTGGTACTCTCACCACAATTCCCAGTGGTTAATGGCTGCATGACAAAAACATCACAGAAGTTGGCAACAGCACATTAAGAGAAGGCCAGGGGCTTTCAGCCATCTCAGAAGGCCAGCTGTCCATTTAAGCCTGTTACTTCCTCCTTAGATGGCACTGTGCGATCCTCAGCTGCACTAGTGCCCGTTCATGGACACAGGATCAGTGTCTCCAACTCCATCATTCTGGTACCTCCCATAACCACTACCATGGAGAGACGGGCGTCCTGCTCACTGTGTCTTTTACAAAGAGCTCAGCTAGAAAGAGGATTGCAGGACGAGGCTGGTTTAAAGCTGGTGTCAAGATGTCTTAGTTAAATATGTTCCATGGCTTCTGCTGGATGCTCCATTCCCATCACAGCCTGATCTCCAGCATCACCTCTTACCCCCCACCCCACCGCAGCACACAGACGTGCCACAAAGATAAGCACTCTGAAATCAGCATTCATGTGAAATTCAAAGCAAACACAAACAGAATCTCTGATGCCAAATTTGTAACTTAAATCATGTGCAGTCCTGTTGAATTAATGGCATCTGAGTCTCTGCATGCAAAACAATCTAATTTTAAAGAAATCCAATTAATTATTCAAGGTAGTGTGCTATTATTATGTTAATACATTAGTTTACATGTTTTTATAAGTTTGTGCTGTCATCATTTCTCATATTTATGGCTTAAGATGAATTTTTTTTATGAATTGTGTCTAATATGGCTAATACTCACTGTGGGGATAAGGAAATGAAACTAATGAAAAAGTAGACGAAATGACTGTGTAGGGCTATGTGGGCAATATTTTGAGATGGCTTAATTTTCATACACTAACATATTATTTATGTAAAATATAAACATTCCTTAATTTTCACTAAGGTTTTAAAACAGAGATTTGAATACAGAGGACTAAAATTATCTCTTATGAAAAGACATATACATGCATAAAAATTAATTTACAGAGTTTTTGCACTGTAACAACTTTCAGGTGGTGAAATTTTCAAAAACTCTCATCTCTAGTCAAGTTAAATTGTGATTGCAATAAAAGCTGAGTTAAATTCACGAAAATACTACACCACAATTGCATTCAGTAGGTCTTAAATATGCTCTACAATGATACTAGGATATATTTTGTTCTTTCACAGTTTATGAGATTTATATGATCTTCAGGCTGTAGCACACATCACTAACAAAACAATATATACAGAGGTTTGGCCGCTGTTTACTCATTGTTTTCACTGATACAATAAGACAGACAGGTATGAACCAAAAGTGCTGGGGAACATTTCCAGGGAAGGATGTCTGTTGTCTACTTGGTGCAGGCATGAGGATGGTCCCTGGCACGGATTTGGCCCAAGCCGGCCAGCAGTTCCCAACGGTCCCAAGCACAGCTCGGGAAATAAAACCGGTCACTCCGAATAGGGAATTTGGCTATGGCCACCCTTTTTTAGATGATTCTACAGTATGTGCGTAGGCCTTTCCTTGACAGTTGGTCTTCGAGCCAGGCAATGGCATGATTACATACTAACATAGATGGAGCCATATGGTTCATGATGAAACACGGGGAAAAAATGATCTCTTAAACAGAAATTTCAGAACAAGTTCTGTCAACTCTGATTTTAGTGTAAGCATCTTGATGTTTGGTATTTTACTTAAAACCTTAATTTCTGGAAATAAATGATTTAAATACTAGCTTCCTTTTGAAAAGCATCTCGACAGTTCTTTTTTATTTTTATTTTCACTTTTATTTTAATTTTTATCCTCATTTTTATTGTATTGGGGGGGAGGGGTTGCAGAGAGTAGCTTCATACTGCAACCTGAATTAATTCTAGCATCACTTTTTTGGAAAAAGCCAGTACCATGCTGGAGCTGAATAAGATCACTTAACACTGGCCATCCACTGCACTGTTAACCCAGGAAAGAGATTTCCTGTCACAGGGATAAATTTGTTCTTTAGCTTCACTCTTTACCAAATGTCTCCAACCCAAAGCCACTGGAACCCTCCAGAAAAGCTTTTGTTAGACCACAGACATAGAGAAAGGGATTGAAAAAAACCCCAAAGACCTGTCTAGCCTTTAAAAGAACTTCCATCGAAGTTAATAACCAGATCCCAATTTGTGATTTCTTCTGGGTTCTTAAAAAGAAATACCCCTTGAATTCAGTTCTTGACCTTAAGGGAACTGTGATTTTACAGCAAAAATTGCTAATGAGTTTTTATGTTCTGACTGACAAACATCAGCATACACTGATGGCCAGTGGGTGTCTACTGACATCCACTACCTGAAAACTATTCCCAGAACTCTCCCATAAAGTATTGTATAGTAAAAGCTCAAAGGTGAAAAGTGAGCTTGCAGTAAGAGCATGATGTTTCTTATGGAGATGTATGAATAAGTTTTAAATGGATATATTTTGAATGTTGATGCTTTATGATATGAGAAGTGTGTGAAAATGAGATTACTGTCTTAATCATACCTTTTATTGGCTTTTCCCAAAATTATACTAGCAATAAAGATGAATGTTGCAAAGAATCAATTTTAGCCCCATGTTTTATGCTGACCCTTCCTGACATCTGAGCTTCTGCAACATTGGAAGCTGACATTATTAGTTGTTCAGCTCTATCAAACTGGAAATTTCACCTTATTAACATGCAGTTGCTATGGAAACACCATAGTTCTGTGATTTTTGCTTGCAGGCAGTATAGAAAAAATCTTAGTACCAATATACAAGTCAATGCATGTCATTTTAAAATACCTTCCTGGTGTTTTAAAATGAAAAAATACCAATAAGATATGTAAGCTGTAGCACTTTATCTTAATGTACTGGAAGACTGAAAGATGTTTTTCAACAATAATCTTGGGTATATGCCATAGAGAAATACTATCTAGACAGACACTGCTTCCAAAATTGCCCTTTTTTTTATTAAAGCTAACATTTCTAAAGGCCCATTTCCTGTCTCTTTTTTATTCATACTTACTTATTTCATTTGACTATTTTTATTTTAATAGCTTTGTCCTTGGGGTTTGAAGGCCTCTCTTCTTTCTTGAGAACTCTGAAAAACTTACCTTTCAAAGGTGTATCATGCTATCATCCTTTATGACAAGGGAAAGGGGGTTTCACAGTTAATAATGAAACACAAATACTGTTAAGGCATGTGCCTAGGATGTACAAGAAGCCCCGAGTAGAGCAGGAAGCAAACGGTGCATGCAACACTGCAGACTAACCTTCATTCACTTCACCATGTTGGCATTATTTGGTTTATTGGCTTTTTTGACACAGTTTTATTTTCTTATTCTACCTTCTGTCATTTAGGTCAGGAATATTTACTCAGCTTATCATATTCTTTACTTTAGTAACATGCACAAAATGGAAGACGACAGCCCACAGAATTGGGCAGAGTCATCACCGCTGGTGCATGAGAACTGGACTAAAGGCTGGACAGCTAAGGTTTTATTCACAGCTCCAGCACAGATTTTCTGGATATGTAGTGACACTAGGGGGTATGTATTGGGTCAGACCAAAGGTTTGGTGTGGACAGGTGTCTTATCCCCAGTCTGGTCAATAGTAGATACCTAAGAACAAACAAAGGGCAACATTACTTTTCTGATGCTCTCTTGTAGCCTCCAGCAATATGAAGTTCAGGATCCTCTGGGATGGATTTTTCCTTCCATAGTTTTGTCTAATGCATGGTTTGGTCAGGGAAGTTTTACACAACCCAAGCACCCCTGCTGTGATGCCCCAGAGTTTGCCTGGGGACCGGATGAAGAACCTCACTGATTTTGAATTTGCCATCTGATTAAAGAATCATAGAATCATAGAATCATTAAGGTTGGAAAAGACCTCTAAGATCATCGAGTCCAACCATTGACCCAACACCACCATGCCCACTAAACCATGTCCCTAAGCGCCTCATCTACACTTCCAGGGATGGTGACTCAACCACTTCCCTGGGCAGCCTCTTCCAATGTTTAACCACTCTTGCAGTAAAGACCTTT